AAAAAATTAATAAACTGATAATAGTTGTGTATACAAGTTTTTATCTGCATTGCAAGGATCGCTAGGTAATAATTGCAAAAGGATAGTTATTCTGAATACTATTTTCCTCAGCATCCAGGATAGTTGTTAGGGACAAATAGAGAATCTATGTTTACTATGATTTTGCTGGAAAATCACAATTTTCTTTCAGTGCTGTCTCACCTGTCCCTCTCAAATATTATTCTTTTTTGTCATACTCTTTGGGAGAAGCATTACACACATATAAAAGGTGGAAAACCTTGACCTGCTTGGCATTGCTGAGGTTAAAAGGCTCACCAGAGAGAACAGATTTTCCTCTTCTCAACATTTAAGCAACTCCCTTCCAAGTGTACAGTAAGTAGAAAGTGTGAAGTTTGCAGGTATTTCTAAATTATGAACTTCTTCAAGAGTTTCTTTACAGAGGATTTTCTTCTAAGGCATCAACTCATCATTTCAGTGTCATCTTCACAGTCCTCATTATGGATTTTGAAAACCTTTATTAAAACCACCTGAAGGTGACTATCTGCAGTTCAAACCCTCCACCCCTATCCTCTTATATACAATATAAAAACATGCCTGAGACAATTAAAACATACAAAATATGTTTGCATATTAATGCTTTGGGGACAGGATTTGGGCTTATAATCACCCAGATTCTTTCATCAGGAGGGTCTACAGATCATGGCCTGATGGACGAAGTTACCCAATGGGAACTTCAAAGGAAAAAGAAGTAGAAAAATATGTTGCTAAAATCTGACAATTAAAATATGACAATAAAATAATAAAGGATAGTAATATAAAATCATCCGATCTTCTCGCCATGCTTTTTAGGCTATAAGCCTTCTCTTTTCTTTCTACCTACAATTCATAGAACATTGATACTTTAAGATGGTCCCAGGTCCTGAAGTTCTGTTCTCTTCCAGTAGAGGGCAATGCTGCACTCAAAACTGCACCAGTTGCAAAATCACCCTGGTCAGCCTGCGTTCCTTCTCTACGATCAAGACAGATTATTTTTTAAATCATATACAAATATTTTTTCCCTCTCTACACTCTAAGAAATGAAGAGTTGAAGGGGAAAAACCGAAAAGGCTTGAAGGATTATTCTTCTATCCGCTCTCTTCAACAAAGATATTTCATCATACGTGACATGCCAGGAGGTTTGCTATCAAAGTCCCAAAGTTCGAAAGGCGTCTCGTAAGTCATCCACCTCATATAGGGGCTGCAAAGAAAGAGAAAAATGAATGCAGTGAATGGCTTCAAAACTGAGCTGGACAGGGAAGTCTTCTAAACTGCATGGCTTATCTTTTTAACATTTTGTTAGTAAATTGGGATTCTGATCAGGAGGGAAACACAGCTGAGGAATCTGAGGAGCGATTAGCAGAAAGAAGACAAGTAAAGCTATGAAAGAAGGAGAAGGTAAAGGAAAGACATCTTAGCAGAGGGCTCTGAATTATGAATTAACAGAAGGGAAAACTGAATTATAGGAGAAATAAAGTTTCGTCAGATGAAAAATGAGAGTGACTTTTAAAAATATAAGAAGCTGCAGGAAAAGACTATAGAAAAAGTGAAAAGCAAGGAAGCCACTTACCAAAAGGATGCGACGAAGTTGTCTGGATAGCCGAACTGAATTCTCATGCAGCCCTTCCCAGGCCTTGAAAGTTCTTTCACGATTTTCTACAAAAGTATTCCAGCAGTAAAAATAATCTTTAAAAAAATGGGGGGACAGGGGGAAAAGATAGTTCAGGTCTTCAACTAGAAGTAAAGAAAACCCTGGCCTCACTTCCTCATTTACCCAGGACCTTGTCACCAAGCCATTCACAGCTTTCCTGGAATTCTAATCAATAATTTTGACTCCCATCGTGAACCAGGAACCTTAGGCAATTCTTCCCCCTGAGTTTTCCCCACTGACTCTTCTCATTCTGAATTGCAATTTAAAATTATGTCTGCTGCACAGAGCCTGCGCAAAAGGTTCCCCTTCGCACCTTTGAAGGTCATGATGCCGATTTGGACCCCAGCACGGTGCAGCCTCCGCAGCCCCTCAGGCTCTGCCTTGCAGTCCTCGCAGAAGTAGAGGCGCGCGGTGAAGATTCTCAGACTGAGGTTGGGGTTCCCTCTCAGAAAGTCTGCCACGTGCCGGGCACAGTCGTAACAGGGGCTCCAGGAGGTGAACCAAGTGACTCGGTAGCACCGGCCAGGGTCCAAGTCCCAGTCGGAGATGTAGCGGAGGAAGAGCAATTCCACGTGGCAACCTGACTGGGGAGAGAGCAGAGAACCCAGTTCACTGACCTTTGTTGTGGTTGTGGTAACTTCACAGGTATTCTCTCCCACAATGAGCTTTTAGAATGCTGACAGTTACTGTCTTTTGTGTTACACAGAGGTCAAGCAAGAGCTCATTAGTAAGAGGTGAACCAAAACCTTTGTGTGTATGTAACACTGGTCTTACCCAGTGAAGGAAGGCTAAGGATTTTTTTTTTTCTTTTTTGGGGGGTGTGTGGGGAGAAGGATGAAATAAGTAGAGAATGGTAGAAATAGCATCATACTACCCGTACAGAGATTGAATTTGTACTTTGAAGTTATTTTTGCACATTTTAAGAAGGAAAAATGTCTTGGAAGTTTCTGTTGATAAAACATTGTGGAACTACACGTGGACCCCTAGGTGGAGCTAGGACAATTTGTGAGATTGCTTGGGAGGATGCAAAGAGTGAAAATAGATTATGGTGAATCAGATAGGTGGGTGTTGTAGAAGTAATAGGCACTAGTATGGGCCAAGAGCAATTAAATAATGTGTTCTCTCATTGTATAGTCTCAGTGATTGTAATAATAACTGCAATAGTGAGGTATAACAGGCCAAACTCTTATTGCAGAAGTCATTAATCCCAGAATATGAAGACAGGTTTCATTTTCTAGCTTCACTTTTGAGACTTAAACAAATTACTCAACTCTTGGTTCTTACATTTCCTCATCAGAAAAATGAGCTGGTATTGTGAGCATTAAATGTGAAAGTGCAGATAAAATGAAAGGTTTCTATAAATAGAATGTGTCACATTACAAAATAAGAAAATGACTTGAATGTAAAATCATGATGGTAATAAAGATTAGCAAACAAATAAAAGCAATGAAAATAGCATGACATGCCACACCACAGATTCTTCCCTGGGATTCAACCAAGACTAGATGTCACAGAATGTTAGGAGAGGAGATATTCACAGGCAGAAGCTTATGTAAGACCATTTGATTTTGATGAAGAAGTCTTTTTAAACTCCCTGCCCCGCTCTACAGGGGATTAAACCCAGTATTTTTTTTATTGAAAATTAAAAAAAAAATTTGAGATAGGGTCCCTCTAATATGTGGAGGCTATCCTCAAACTTTCCATCCCCTGCTTCATTCAGCCACCCAAGTTACTAGTTGGTGAAGAAATCTTCTGGAAATGTAATCCTATCAGGCAGCTGAAAGTTTGATTTAATTAACCAATCTATAGAGGTTTCTCTGAGTTTTCTGGGGCTCACCATAGTAAATGTATTTTCTGGTCTACAATCTACATGAATAGGAGGAATAGAAATCATTGGAAAAAGAGAATTGAGCTGCTATAATTTCACCTATATTTTTCATCTTTATAAATTTTCAAAAATTTTAAAGACACAATTTTTTTTTCATTTAAAATTTTGCTTGAGCTGGGTGTGGTGGCATATGCCTGTTTTAGTCTCAGGTACTTGGGAGTCTGACGCAGGAGAATCACTTAAGTCCACGAGTTCAGGAACAGCCTGGGCAACATGAAGAGATTCCATCTCAGGAATAGAAAAAAAAAAGTTGGAATTTAGTTTGAGGGACTGGGCACATGACTGGGGTACAGTACAGCACTTAACTAGAATGCTGAAAGGCCTGAGTTTGACCCCCAGTACCACAATAAATAAATAAATAAATAAATAAAATGAGCTGGTAATATTTCCTCATATCAAAATCCTCTTACCTTAATCTCAGGGCAATTCAGAGGCTGGGGATATAGCTCAGTTGGTAGAGTGCTTGCCTCACATGCACAAGGCCCTGGGTTCAATCCCCAGCACTGCACACATGGAAAAAAAAAAAAAAAAGGCTGGAAAAGGGGAGGAAAGTTTGGGATCAAGTATGGCATTAGGGTACCAGGCATGATTGAGAAGGACATTAAATGACCTTTCAGGCCATGTCTAATACGGGTGCATAGGGAGGGGGTAAAGAAGATTTGAAAAAGTTAGTGGAGACAGAAACGCAAAAAAAAAAAAAAAAAAAAAAAATGGGTGGACTAGTTTTAGTGGCCCATGCCTGTAATTCCAGAGATTCTGGAGGTTAGGCAAGAGGATGGCAACTTCAAGGCAAGCCTCAGCAACTTAGATAAGCCTTAAGCAACTTAGGGAGACCTTGTCTTAAAATAAACAATAAAAAGGGATGTGGCTCAGTGGTAAAGTACCTCTGGGTTCAATCCCTAGTACTGCGCCCCCGCAGTCCCCCAACCCTCAAAAAAAAAAAAAAAAAAAAAACCTGGACCCTCAGCAGGTAACTAAAAGCATCTACTGTTTAGCTTTCAACTGCTGGGAAAGCAAACTTTAATTGATACCTTGTTGCGAAGGTGGCCGAAGTCCAGTGAAAAGGAGGTGGCACTATCCCGACGCTTCACCACATAACACAGGTAGGTCTCATGCCGACCCTTAGCCCAGCGAACATTTTTGAAATGGTAAAGAAACTTCTTCCGATTCATCAGAAGGCTGTGGGTGAGAGGAAGGAGAAGGAAATCAGGAACACAGTTCACTCTCTGGTCACTTTGGGTTTTCCTTCAGATGATGATGATGATGATGATGATGATGGGTGCTGGGGATGGAACAAACCCAGTACCTCTTGCTTGCTAGGCTCTACCACTGAGCTACATCCCCAGTCCTGTTATTATTACTTTTAAAATTTATAATTACTTGGAAGCATCTCTCCCTTCATTTGCTGGATGCCTGAGACCTACTGAGCTTGGAATCCTGCTTAAACATCTTTTTCTGCTTAAAATTAAGACCAACTGAGAGAAACTTGGCAAGAACCCTAAACTCATTTGAGTTCAATAGACAGTCTCCTCCCCTGGCTGTCTACTAGATGTTGATGACTTAATATTACAAACTTGTTCTTCAGTCTCATAATTATTTTTTTAGGTTTCCCTCCAGTTTCTACTTAAATCTCCAATATGTACCTTAAACTCAACATGCCCAACAGCATCCCTAAAATGTCCACTGTCCTGAACTGCTACTCCCTCTGACTTTACCATGTCAGGTAACCAGACTGGAAACTTGGAATCATCCCTTATTATTTCTTATTCCTTATTCCTCATGCAATTAATTATTTAAATTTGTTGATTCTGTTGGGTCTCAGAAAGGATACTTTGCCCTACTGAGAACTTTGAATTACAGGAGCATGAGAAATCTCAGATGCAGCCTCCGAAGCCAAGGCTCTGACCTTCTGCCTTCCTGTCTCCTGTCTAGCGAATGTTAGAAACCAGAATTCCTCTCCCTCAAGAAGGATCATAGAAGCTAAACCCCCTCTCCCCCAAAGCATGCCATAAAATCTGGAAAGGCCTCTCTCCCCCTTCTCTATTAGAGACTCTCCTTGCACAGGTGTCCTACCCTATACCCAGGAGAAGGCATGCTGCATGGACAGGCCACATAGAATCTGGAGAGACCTTGCTGAGTTTCCTCCCTTACTGAATTACCATTAAATCAGGTCCCTTTGTCTAGTCACATTTCCATGTGCTTCCTGTTCTTCATTTGAATCTAAACATAAAAACAGTTTTCACTGGGTCTGAGGGTCTTTAATTAAATAAACTTGTTATGCTTTTCTTTCTTTCCTCCTCCTCTTTTTTTTCTGTTCCTCCCTTCCTCCTTCCTTCCTTCTTTTCTTTTTTTTTTTTAATACCTTTTTAGTTGCAGATGGACACAATACCTCCATTCATTTGTTTTTATTTTTGTGTGGTGCTGGGGAACGAACCCAATGCCTCACACATGCTAGGCAAGTGCTCCACCACTGAGCTACAATCCCAGCCCTCCTTCTTTTCTTCCTGCCTTGCTGGGGATGGAACCACTGTTCTCTTACACAGTAGCCAATAGCTTTGCCTCTGAGCTATATCTCAGCTATATCTCAGTTCTTCTGCTGCTTTTATAACTTGGCAATATAATCTTCATATTTAGCTAGTTGCACTCTCTTTCACTCTCTCTCTCTCTCTCTCTCTCTCTCTCTCTCTCTCTCTCTCTCACTCCCTCACACACACACACACACACACACACACACACACACACACGGACTGACTGTCCCTCCTCTTTTTTTTCTAGCTCTAAACTCAGTATCTTGCATAGTAAATTGAATTTGTTGAGACACTCTTTGGTAACTCAAGTTTCTTTAAGGAAATTTAGAATCCCTTTTAAAGCTGGGAACATAGTAGCACAAGCTATGTGGCAAGGTTGCTACTAAAGCAAGAGTGCTATCTCTGATTTTTGTGGGTCCTTTTTTTCAGAAATATATTTTTCCAACTTGTGGAGATAGTGCTGCTACCTAATGGTACTGGGTAAAAGAGCAAAGAACTTGTAAAGGCCTGGTGAGGAATTTGAATACAGTTTGCTGGCAAGAGAATTGAAACGTTTTTGCACTTTTTTTTTTTTTTTACATTGAGGCATAATTTACATACAGTAAATTTTGCCCACAATTCTGTGAATATTGGCAGATGTAAACACCCCACACTGCTACCACAGTCAGGTTACAGAACATTTCCCAGGTAACTCGCACAAAGTTTCTTTACCCTGCTTTGCAATCAATTCTCCTCTCCACCAGGCAACCACTGACTTGCTTTCTGTAACTATACATTTTCTATTATTTCATATAAACCATACATCATCTCTTTTGGTCTTATTTCATTTAACATAATGACTTTGAGACTCATCCATGTTTCATAGTTTGTTCCTTTTTCCTGCAGAGTGGTATTCTATTGCATGAGTATAGCATGTTTTGTTTTCTCATTCACCTGTTGATGGATATTTGGATTGTGCACACTTTGGTGCAACTGTAAGTAAAGGTACTATGAACATTCATGTGCTGGTCTTTGTATGGACATAAAATGAGAATTGATAATTTAATAATGTATTATAGGTGATAGACCTGGCCTTAAAAATTAACTGCCCCAGTGTCGACTTTATTAGATAGAAAATCTAGGACAACAGCTGATTATAGCTGTTTCAATTCTGTTTTATTTTGGTACCAGAGACTGAACCCAGGGGTGCTTAACAGAACCACATCCACAGCCTTTTTTATTTTTTGTTTTGAAACAGGGTCTTGTTTAGTTGCTTAGGGCCTCACTAAATTGTTGAGCCTGGCCTCGAACTTGTGATTCTCTTGCCTCAGACTCCTAAATTTCTAGGATTATAGGCATGCTCTACCTTGCTCAGCTAAATCTTTCAATTTAAATGTCTCCATTTACACACATAAAAGTTATTAAAAAAACATTTTAAACCTTTAGGAAGAGAACTAGATTTATCAACAGTATAAACATTGTATGTATCAAACAATATAAAAAGTAGTCAACTGTATTCATTTATTTAGTACAGGGGATTGAACCCAAGGGTGCTTACCCACTGAACCACATCTCCAGCCCTTTTAATATTTTATTTAGAGACAAGGTCTTGCCAAGTTGATAAGAGCCTCACTAATCTGTTGAGGCTGGCTTCGAACTTACAATCCTTCTGTCTCAGAAGGCCCAAATTTCTGGGATTAGAGGCATGCGCCACCTTGCCAAACTGGGTTTTTTGTTTTGTTTTGTTTTGTTTTGGTACCAGGGATTGAATTTAGGGGCACTCAACCACTGAGCCACATCCCCATCCCTATTTTGTATTTTATTTAGAGCAGGGTCTCACTGAGTTGTTTAGCACCTCACTGTTGGCTTTGAACTCACGATACTCCTGCCTCAGCCTCCCGTGTTGCTGGGACTACAGGCTGTGTTTTGTTTTTAAGTAAATTACGCAATTAGGTACCAGTGGTAAAGCTCAATGGTAGAGTTTTTTGTTTTGTTTTGCTTTGCTTTTTGATACCAGAGATAGAATCCAGGGACACTTAACCATTGAGCCACATCCCTAGCCCTTTTTATATTTTATTTTATGACAAAGTCTTACTAAGTTGCTTAGGGCCTCCCTAAATTGCTGAGGCTAGCTTCAAACTTGTAATCCTCCTGCCTCAGCCTCTTGAGCCCCTGAGTTTGCAGAAATGTGTCACCATACCTGACAAATGGTAGAGATTGTGAGAGGCACTGAGTTCAATGCCCAGCACCAAACAAACATTAAAAATGCATAATTGACAAGAATCTAAAATGGATACAAAGCCTCAGCAACAATCAGCTTTATTTAAAAATAGTAATAATGTATTATGGTAGTCACTATAGCACCACCACTATTTCTATGACTACTTAATTAGCACATAATAACCATCAGCATGTGTAATCTCAACACATAATAAGCTCTTAATAAATATAGAAGAGAAAGAAAAAAAAATTTTTGGAGCCCAAATAGATGTTGTTATTGTTGCTGTCTGTGATACTGAGGACCGAATCCAAGGGTGCTCTACCCTAAGCTTTGCTTATTTTAAATTTTGGGATAGGGTCTCCCTATATTACTTGGACTCTCCTTGAACTTGAGATCCTCCTGCATAAGACTTCTGAGTCACTGGAATTATAGTAACACAACACTGCACCTTGCTGAGTCAACAGCTTGAACATCATCTCATACCAATATCCCTTTTATATTCAACCTTTGGGGCTGTATAGATAAGAAAAGTGAGGAACCTTTTACCTTTTTGCCCTTCTTCCATGCTGGGGATCTAAGCTGAGGGGGCATCCATCAGACCTTTGAGGCAAGCACTTGACCAGTGTACACCACCATCCCTGGAAATCTTTTTTTCATGCACCATGGGTGGTATGTGTATGCTGTGCCTGTGAGCTCAAGAATATCTGTGTGTGTGTGTGTGTGTGTGTGTGTGTGTGTGTGTGTGTGTGTGTTAGGGCAGGTTCGGTTATCATGATGATGGAGAAATGTCCCAGGAATATAGAAAAGAAGGATATGGAATAGTAAAGGAATTCAGAGTGTTTTTGTGTCCTATCTCATGTGAAATGGCAGTTGGCCTTTACTATTTCAGTCAAAGTTGTGAGCTGGAATGAAATGATTTGCTGGAGCCTGATCTGTTATGAACTTTCTTGATCCATTTCTTCCCCACCTTGGAACCTGTTTCCAGGACCTGTTCTTCTATGGTGTGTCTCCTAGGTAGGAAGGACTTTGCAGAGACAATTTTTTTCAGGCCCCCAGGTTGACAGCTGCTTGGACAGCTGTGTTCCCTGAGGCAGAACATGAGCTGCATCCCCAGCAATGCAAACCAGAAAGAAATGGGTTAAAAATAATCCTGACATAGTCATCTTCTGCTATCCCCAGTGAACTCTGCACATAGGACATTCGTGAATGATAATTATGTATCATTAATTTTGTCCTGTTGAATTTTGTCTTTCTCTATCCTTATTTGTCTTTCTCTGAATTTCAACAACTGACTTTTCCTTTGTTTTGCCTTTGCTTATGTACAAAGATTTCCACAGGACCTTTAACCAGGATTTATACCTCAGATTAGTATTCACACTCTCACTGCAAACTGAGGAGACAGTTGATATTATATTTTTCTCAAGAAAATGTTCTAAAGAAGATTTAATGTACCATTAAAAATCTTATTTTTGTTTATTTGCTTTTGCAGGACTAGCAAGCACTCTACCACTAAGCTACACCCCCAGCACTACCATTGAAATTCTTAAGTATGGAGTCTAAATTATTTGTGAAAGAATTATATTGAGATAATATATGTAAATTAGGTGTGATTTCCCTATATTCCTAGTAATCATCATGTGATAAGAATGGAACCACTATATAAAACTATAATGCACTAATAAAAATATGGAAAAAATTAGAATGGAATAAGCTCTATAATAATAACTTACCATAAAATACATGTTGAGACACTGAAAACTTTACAAAATCCACATTTAAGAAATAAGTTAGACCATATTTGAAAAAACGTAAAGATTAGTCAAATAGTAAACATGCCACTAACTGGCCAGTACTTGGACCTATAATATAAAATAACTTGCTTAAATTAATTTTTATCTTTATAACAACCTTAATGACTTTCAAGCAATTAATCTTGAATGTTTTATATATTTTTTTAAAGTACAAATTTCCTTGCCACAGCTAAATTATTTCAGTAGTCTCCCTAGGACAGTTTGTCTTCAAACAGTTTTATTATTGAATATTTACAGATTTATCATTAAAAATTACCACTACTGTTTTTAGTACAGTATTGCTATGACCTTTTTATGATTCGAGTCTCTAAAGATTTCTCTGTTAATATTTCTGTCATAAACTAGTTCTGGTTGTGGCAAATCCCAGGACAGATCAGTACATTGTGCATATTGTGTGTGTGTGTGTGTGTGTGTGTACAACATGAAAAAGAGAGGGATGGAGACAAGTGCAGAACAGAGAAAGTTAGGCTGAGAACATGCAAGTCCTGATCAGAAGATGAGTCAGATTCAGAATAAAAAAAGAGCACATTGACCAAACAGATCTTGCAACTGAGAAAGGAATAGCTACTGACCTCACTATTCAGATTTACTCGAAGAAACCCAAAAAGGAGATTGCCTCTTTACCTGTCCATAGTGGATTCCAGAGTGTCTTTCTTGATTCTGAAAGTCTTAGGCCAAGAAAATCTTGCCTCAAGCAATGATGCTTCACTGCCTCTGTCTGACAAAAAAATTGGCCCCTCACATTCAAATTTGAACTTGCCCTTGTAGACTCCTCCCCCCATAGCATCACCACCACCAGGTACCCCAATAGCCTTCTTCCTAATTTGGGTCCCGTGAAGATGGGTGGGGTTGTCGTAGGCAGAGTCTTAGGGGTTGAATGATTAAAGGCAGCTTTACTGAATGTTTCCTTTAGGGCTGCCTCTAAGAAACCAAGAAGTCCATGCTTCATAGGTAACAAACATCAGGAGACAGTAATAGTATACACTTCTTAAGTTAGACTCATGGTAATACTGTCTCCCCCACCACCTCTTTCTTTTCTTTTAAATTGGGATTGAATCCCCGAGTGCTCTAACCACTGAGCAACACCCCCAGCCCTTTTATTTTAAGATAGTTTCTTGCTAAATTACCCAGGCTGGCCCAAGCTTGCAATGTTTCTGCTTCAGCCTCTCATTACAGACATTTGCCACCATGCCTGGCTGTTGTAGTTTGCATGTTTGTGTGTGTGTGTGTGTGTGTGTGTGTGTGTGTGTGTGTTGATGGAGATCGAATCCAAGACCTCATGTATGATAGGCCAAGGCTCTGCCACTGAGCTACTCCCAGCCCAATAAACATTATCTTTAATTTTAAAACTATAATTATAATGATAACATTCATTTTCACTTAAATGGCATGAATTAGCATTTAAGTGGCATCTTGTGTTCTGTGAGCTGAAAGCATCACAATTAATTTATACAATGTCCTTGGACCTCAACAGAGACAGGCACAAACAGCTCTGCTTTGTGGCTAAGCAAGTGAACTCAGTTATATAGGATTTATAACAGAAATTTTACTTCCCAAACCACTGATGTTTTTCTTTTTTGATTGCATATAAGAATTGTTGGAAGAATAGGTATTTATAGCAAAGAGTAATTTTTGAATGAGCCATTAAAAAAAAAAAAGAAAAGAAAAAACTTTTAATTTCAAGTCAGAAGTAGCAACACCCACTGGGTATGGTGATGCATGCCTGTAATCCCAGTGGCCTGGGAGGCTGAGGCAGGAGTATCACAAATTCAAAGCCAGCCTCAGCAAAAGTGAGGTGCTAAGCAACTCAATGAGACCCTGTCTCTAAATAAAATACAAAATAGGGATGGGGATGTGGCTCAGTGGTTGTGTGCCCCTGAGTTCAATCCCTAGTACCAAAAAAAAAAAAAAAAGTAACAACATCCCCAAATATCAAACTGCTTATTTCACCAGACAGAATCAGTGCTTAACTGACTATATTGAACTTGGGAAACAGGCTGAGCTTTTCAAATAAGAGGCTTTAAGTTCCTGCCCTTTTACAACTTGGTCTATTAAAGATTTTATTTCGGACTGGGGATGTGGCTCAAGTGGTAGCACACTCGCCTGGCATGCATGCGGCCCGGGTTCGATCCTCAGCACCACATACCAACAAAGATGTTGTGTCCGCCGAAAACTAAAAAGTGAACATTAAAATTCTCTCTTTAAAAAAAAAAAAAAAGATCTTATTTCTCACTCCCAGCTCAGTGAGTATATATATTTTATTTATCCATCATGAGGATAATTTAATACCTACCATAAGATAGAAACTGTGAAAGGTGCTGGGAATCCAACAGAGAGCAAAGCAGCTGGGGTCTTTCTTCTTCACACACATGGAGCACACACCCCTGCCCCTGAACTCCTGGCACCTCCACCTGGAGTACTCTTCCCTGTGTATTGTTACAGATTAATTTCTTATTTGTTTTATGTCTGATAGTTGAGACTTTCTCAACATTATATCTAAAAATCAATGATTTTTAGATTCTCATTCCTTACTTTCTTTCTCCCGTTATGTAATTTTTCTTCTCAGCACTTATCACTTGAAAGACACTCTTTATTTTATTTTTCAGTATGAATTATTATTTCTGAAAAAAGAAATTATGCAAGGGCCCAGCAAGATGATAGGCAGTAGTTGACTTAGTTGTCTTTGGCATGCTAAGTGTCACAGAACAGTAGAATGGGGAAAGCAGGGGAAGAGATCTTCCAAATTCCTCTGCAGCATCCACCATGGGGTGTGGTTATTTGAAATAGGATCCCTTCAAATTGTCTCTTTAGATGTAACTTGTGCTTTCAACATATTTTCATCCAATTTTCCAGAGAATAACATACGTACGCAAACATAAACAGAGCACTCATATACATCCTCCCGAAGGACCAACATTAATTCTCAGAGATGGTGCTATCTTTAAATTCCCCCCAAAATGGAAGCAAGCTGCGTATGGTGGCATGTACCTGTAATTCAGAGACTAGGGAGGCTGAGGCAGGAGGATCAAAAGTTTGAGGCCAGCCTGGGCAATTTAACAAGACTCTGTCCCAAAATAAAAATTAAAAGGGGCTGGGGATGTAGTTCAGTGATAGAGAACCCCTGGGTTCAATCCCAGTATGACAAAAAATAAAAAAACTCAATCAATTGATCAGTGAATAAATAATTAAAATGGAAGAGAAAAAATTTTCTCAGTGCCCCAATGTGAAACTCCCTCCTGACACTGTATCTTCTCATTCTCAGGATTATACAAAATTGTATTAATATCCTTTGTTTATGCTCTCTTTTCAAATTATGCCTTTTTGGATCTGGTGAAAATAAGAAAACTGGCCCATTGCTAATTCACCTACTTTTTGTTTGCTTGTTTGGTTTCAGTTGTTTTTTGTTTGTTTGGGGTTTTTTGTTGTTTTATTTTTTTGGGGGGGGGAGGGTGGTTTTTTGCATTTCTAACCATTTTTAAGTGTACAACTCAGTGGCATTAATTACATTCCCAATGTTGTTTTACCCATCACTATTATGTTTCCAAAACTTTTTTTGTGGGGGGAGGCCACTGGGAACTGAACCCAGGGGCACTTTATCACTAAGTTACATCCTCAGTCTTTTTATTTTTTATTTTGAGACAGAGTCTTACTAAATTGCTGAGGCTAGCCTTAAACTTGCAGTTCTCCTGCTTCAGTTTCCCAAATTGCTAGCTAATAAGTGTGTACAACCATGCCCACTTTGTTTCCAAAATTTGATCACACCAAAAAAAAAAAAAAAATACATAGGAATAATGTAGAGATCATGATTCCCTCTTCTTCCTAGCCTCTACTAGCCTCTAATCTACTTTTTGTCTCTATGAATTTGCCTACTCAAGATATTTCAAAAACTTGGAATCATATAATACTTGTCCTTTTGTATCTGGATTATTTCATTTTGCATAATGTTTTTAAGATTCTTCCATGTTATACTATATATAAGTGCTTCATTCCTTTTTATGGCTGGTTCCATTGTGTATACACTACATTTTATTTATTCATTCATCTGTTGATGAATACCTGGGAGATGTATGTTTGTGTTTGTGTATGTGTGTGTATGTGTTTACAATGTTGGGAACTGAATCCACAGGTGCTTTGCCACTAAACTATAGCCCCAGCCCTTACTTTTTATTTTATTTTTATTTTTAAGACTGACCTTGAACTTGTGATTTTTTTTTTAGAGAGAGAGAGAGAGGGAAGGAGGGAGAGAGAGAATTTTTTTTAATATTTATTTATCTTTTTTTTTAGTTTTCGGCGGACACAGCATCTTTATTTTTTGTATGTGGTGCTGAGGATTGAACCTGGGCCGCACGCATGCCGGGCGAGGGCGCTATTGCTTGAGCCACATCCCCAGTCCGAACTTGTGATCTTTCTGCGTTAGCTTCCCAAAAGCTAAGATTACAGGTGTGTGCTACCACACTTGGAAAAAAGGATATTACTTAAGGTGTATAATATAAGGCTCTGATATACATAGTGAAATGATTATTGTAGTAAAGCTAATTAGCACATCCTTTGCCTCACATAGTGACCTTTCTTTGTGTGTGCAATAAGAAAACCTGAAATATACTCTTAGCAAGTTTGCAGCATTCACTAATTTTCCAGCTAATAGTATGGTATTATTAACTATAGTTTTGATGTTACACAATAGATTTCTAGACTTAGTTATTCTATATAACTGCAACTGTAAACCCTTTAATCAATATCTCCCCATTTCTCTACCTCCCACCCCTAGCAACCACATTCTATTTTCTGTTTCTATGTAATCAATGTTTTTTAGTTTCTACATATAAATGAGATTATGCAGTATTTTTATTTCTGTGTCTGGCTTATTTCATTTAGCGCCATGTCCTACAGTTTCATCTGTTGTCATAAATGGCAGAGTCTCCTTTTTAAAGGGCTGAATAATATTATATATATGTATATCACAGCATGTTGCCAAATCTTGTCTATTGTGAATATTATGAACAATGCTGCAATGAACATGGGAGTGCAGGTATCTCTTTAGGTGCTTATTTCATTTCCTTTGGTAATATACACAGAAGAAAGTTTGCTAGGTCATATGGTAACTTTAATTTTGGTGGTTTTTTGTGGGGGTCAGGAGGACCGCCATACTGCTTTTTGTGTCTTTGCCAATTTTCATTCTTACTAACAGTATGCAGGGGTTTCTTTTTTTCACATCCTCTCAAATACTTGTTTTCTTTTGTCTTATTGATAGATGATATCCTAATGTGTATGAGGTTCTGAGATAGAAAAAAAATTAGTGTAAAACCAATAGGAAACTCAGTCAACTATTTTTCCTTCTATAATTCACACACCAGTGAATATACCTCTTCTAACACCAAATGGGGGGGGCAGGTTTCCCCACACACCAAGCAATTCTCTGGTGGACACCAGCTGTGTATCATAATTTAGCTCAATTCCAACCCTATCAACCTAGAGAGTGTCAGATCCCGCAGGGTAAGGGCTCAGTCCCACAGGATGGCACTCCACTTCAGTTGACTTTCTAAAGTCCCAAGTTCTTACTAATTGGAGTTCCCACACCCACCTCCTTAGGTCTGATTAATTTGCTAAGATGACTTATGCTGCTCAGGGAAAC